ATGAGTTAAAATAAGAAGCGCAAGGAGATGAAAAAAGAAGAAAAAAAAGAAAAAAGGCAAAAAAGCAAAAAAGCAAAAAAGCAAAAGGGCAAGAAAGCAAAAAGGGAAGAAAGCAAAAAGGCAAAAAAAGAAAAAAGGAAAAAAGAAAAAATTTCCTTAAATTTTCCTCAAGTTTCCTAAACACGCGAACTCAAACAAAATAAGACATTTACTCAAATGGCAAAATAAACACACGTGGATGCATTTCCGTCCTGCATTTATCTAAATGTGTAAAAATCCACTTAAAACACAACTCATATTTTTCTCTGCCCATCTCCTTTTACTATTATGTGTAAAGCACTTTGATAAAATCATTCAATATGTATACCTCACTTTTTTTTCCTTTTTTCTGTTCTTTTTTATTTGCATCTTCTTTTCGACTACGTCATGGGGAGTCTGCTGCTGTATGTACTACTACTGTGATAAAAAAAAAAAAAAAAAAAAGCCACTTCAATTTTTTTTTTTTTTCTCAATTGCACAAAGTGAATAACGATAAAGAGTTTAAAATAATGCATGGCGGATTATCCTATTGAATAATACCGTTGTTCTTCTCTTTTTGTGCAATTTTTTTTTTCTTTTTTTTACTTTCTTCTTGCCCTTTTAGGTATTATCAACGGGGGACAAACACATGCATGCATATTTCATGCAAGCATATGGCTACAAACAAACTCGCAGATATACATACAGGGGCACACGCGCGTGAACAAGAACACTTGTACGCACCTGCGTGCGGACGAATGTATGTCTTAGGCAAAGGTACGACGAGGTACTACTCGCGCACATGGATACATTGGTGATCCAAAAATGCAGTCACACAGTTGCCGAGGCCTAGTGTAACTAATAACGTTAAATTCTATGGACGTTCAAATATTCTTTCCACAAAAAATGAGAGAAAGACACTCATTTATTTTACACCGACATAGTGTGAATTCGTTAGAATAAAAGAGAAAATAAAAAAAATATGAATAAATGAAGAAAGAAAGAAAAACGTGGAAAGAAAAGGCTGGAAACGCAAAAATGAATCAAAAAAATTCTTTTAATAAAAAAAAAATAAAAACAAAATCTAGGTTTATTTAGCGTTGTTGCGCATTCATACGAGGGAAAAGGCGTATCACGCTGGGGGGGGAAATTACAAGTTCGTTTTTCGCTCTTTTATTGTTGTTTAAAAAAGGGAAAAAATCCCCACACGAGCTCTGTCTATGCGGTTGTTGCTAAGAAGACGGTTGCTCACGCGGCAGCTGCCCACACAGAGCTTGCATGTGCACACGAAGCATACACGCCCCTCACACACCCATTCATGCATGAAACAATTCTGCAGCTTAAATGGCTTCCCTATTGAGGTCAGATGAACACTGCAAATGCGTAATGCTACGAATCTTTTGTAAATGGCAATCTTTCCCCACCTCAGGTAAACAAAGCTCGCTCGTTCCTGTGTGCGTTCTCGCTTTTATTTTTTTATTTTTTCTTTTTTGATTTATCACAATAATACAAATAATTTTACAAAAAAAATGCATACGCCTATGCGTACAGGTATATTTGCATGTTTATGTAAACGCGCACATGTACACATATCTTTAAACAAACACAAGTGGCGCCATTGACCGCGGTTTTAAAGTGAAGCCGTGGGAATCAGCATGGCTTGGTTTTTACGAAAAAAAGGTATATCACAGGAGTGGGCGGGGAAAAATGAGAAGGCAAAATGGGAAGGCAAAGTAGGGAAATGTAAAATCGTACTTGCACAAACGAAGGTGTACAAAAATGAACATGCGCAAATGTAGAAACACAAAGAAAGCGCAAAAGGGGAAAAAAAAGGGGAAAATATATAGTATATAATATATAATACAAAATATAAATTATAAAACGTAAAACGTGAAAGGTGAAACGTAAAAAGATAAAATGATAACTGTCATGACTTACTTCCAGCAATGTGCATTCTGGTATGCCCATACCCATAGACCTTACGTAAAATTATGCAAAGAAGAAAGGAAAGAAAAAACATCTTCATCCTACAAGATAAACTTCACAAAATTAACCAAAAATATATGATAACTCCTTTAACAACAAACAAAAAAAAAGAAAAAAAAAAAAAAAACCTCACATTGGGGTAGCTCGTGAAAACCCTAATGGCTTGGCTGCTTTGTGTGTAAACAAACCTCTACATACGTAAGCATTTTTGTGTTTGAAAAAGAAAAAAAAAAAAGCCCAGTGTTCATACACCTTTATGTGATGTTATGTTACGCTGCCGTCTGCTGCGCTGCAGTACACTACGCCTTTTTCGCGCTTCCCCTTTTTTATTCTTTCACTTTTTTCATTTTTCGCATTTTTCCCTTTTTTCACCGTTTTTTCCTTTTTTTTTTCTCCACCCAATGACGTTACAGGCCAACTCTGCGACGGTTCACCGCAAACGTTTTCAATTACACATATGTAAACGAGTTTATGGCCATCTCCACACACATCTGCTATGCGCTTTTTACCTTTATGTAGAAAAATTCGCGAAACGTAACCTCCTCAATGGCATACAAATGAACAAATTTAAGTAGTGAAAAGATGAGCTAATGGGGGTCTGGGCAAAATGGAAAAACTTTGGAATGACTGTACCAAAAAAAAAAAAACATAAAAAATAAAACTCAACTTTAACCATGTTAAGCACCAAATGGGAAAGCGCAATAACGGGCCACAAACGATTCAGCCATTGGAAGAGGCAAATTAAAAAAAAAACGCTCACAACGAAACTGGCACAAGCAGACATACGTGCATTGCACTAATTCGTTAAAACAGCGCTAAGGCCGGGGTCATATTACGCGGACTTAAAGACGCATAGCGGGTATACACGCTCGCACGCTTATTCGTTCGTATAGGAAAACTGCAAAAAGAGCAAACAACTCAGATTTGTTGTACACTTATCGCCGCGGTCATGTGACACATTGTCTGTGGAACATTAAAAGGATCACCCTCGTCGCTGTGCGCACAAATGCAAAGGGGCGAAAAAGTAAAATGCTCAACTGGAGAAGTACCGAAACTGGTTTTTCCACCTACATGTCGCCGCATTGTGGAGGTGAACTTCAAACGGGCTTTTGTCCCCTTGTTTTTTTTTTTTCTTTTTTCTTGTTCTTACCTTTCCTCATCTTTTTCATCTCCTCATACGCTACCCAGGGCTGACAAAAATTTACCTTTTCCCAAAAGGCATACGCGAAAGAAGAGAATAAGCAGAATACGCATCATGGGGAATGTTCCCAAAGGGGGAAAATATTTATTGATCAGAGGTGACATTCCTCTGTCCCCCTTTCAGCACTCATGCGCGTCCAATGTTGGCAGGAAGAGACACATAAGTGTTCCTACTCCGATTTTTGTGCAAACAATTTTTCATCCCCGATTCGAGTAGGGAATGTCTGACGAACGGAAGACCGCGATCCCTGGTAAGGACATTGCCTCTTGTGCGAATTGCCACAATAACCTAAGCGGAATAAACTCATTTTAATTGTGCCCCGTGGTGGAGCATGCAAAGTGAAAAATACTAGTATGCCGCAGGTTTGTGCAGAGGCGTAAGCGTAAGTACCACCCAAGGTGTCGTTGCATTATCAGCAACAAATTAATACCATCCGTGTTACACATTGGTGTTGCTCTTTCGTTCCGTTTCTCCAAAGTCTGTACGAGTTAACGTGGATAGGGACATAGCGGAGAAAGTAAAAAGGTGTACATATGTATACCTTTCACCCACGTGTGTTTCAGTTATAAAAAAAAAAAAAAAGGTTCTTATTTCCTCTCACAAAAGGGTTCATACAAAGGAAATGCAAAATGACGTTTGGGTGGTCGAATAGTCCAGCCATATTCTGTTCGGAATTTTTTTTATATTACCTTCTATGGGAAAAATATAAGTAATAGCGTCCCCCTGAGGAGGCGCTTCTATAATGTGTTTAAAACATATAAGCCTCTAATTCTCCCATCTTCTCCTTTTGGAGACTTTTCTATTATACATGGCTACAAAATGGAAGGAACATAAAATTGGCGCATGAATTGGAGCGTCATGTGGAAACATCAAACTGGGTAACATAAGCGGCGGAAACCAAAAAAAGGAAAAAATTTCAACCATTTTCCCGCCAACTTTGCATTAATTTGCACTCAAATATAATATGCGTGGAGACATACTGGCCATTCGGGCAGTAAGCGCAATATAGTAACACTATAAATCGACGCGTATACATATATGTACATTCTCAGCATACGGCGAGGGGCACCATACCGTAAAATAAAAAATGAAACCTGGGGAATTGAGGTCAAGGGAAGGATAGGGAAAAATAACCCTTTTTTTTTTTTGATATGCTTATAAAAAAGCCATGTTGTTTTGCATATAGAGACAATCTTCTGTGCGTAAAGCAGTATTTTCCCCTTTTTTATCCTCATTTTTTTATTCCATTCTGTTAGCCCCATTTTTTTATCCCTTTTTCCCCAAGTTGCTATTAAAAAAAATACGAACAATAGCAAAACTACACTGTAGTCAATCTGCCTCTTATTTTGCGAAAGATAAAAAGGTTGACCCACAGCTCATATCATATTCGCTTCTTTCATTTTTTCTCCTTTCCCAGTATAGTAAGGGCGGATAGAACGGGAAAATATTCTTCCCCATAAAGTATACGTATGTTCTCTGAAAGGCTCAGAAATTTACCCATTTATTGATAGAGATTTAACTCTTTCCCCCCACCACACTCAACATTTGGGTGCACAAATTATGTATCCGTAGAATAGCTTAACCATACGCACAAACAGTATGCCCCATTGCCCAGAAGCTGTAGCCTCCCACAAAAGTCCCAAAGTTTGAATCTCGACGATATAATTATGTCCGGAGGTAACATCGATGACCTATTTAACGTGTTTGAGGAAAACGACATAGTAGATAATATTTCCACAAAAGATGAAGCGGGAGAAAGGGGGGATGGCGAAGTCCCGGCGGACAACCGTCCCCAGGGTGAAGTGAACGAAGAGACACTGGGTAAGATGCGTATTGAGAAGGGTGCAGTGGAAGGAGAGAACAACTCCGGTGGGGTAAACGAAAGGGGTATCCACCCAGGCCAGGGTGATGCAGGGCGAGCCGGACAAGGTCACACCAAAGGGGAAGCGGAATTGAATGCGCAGCCGCGGGGCGCACCCTCCTCCCCCGTGGCGACCCCACAAATCAACGTCGAAAACCTCATTTCATGGAAAAAGAGGGATCAGAAGGTGCAAAGCCGAATCAAGGAGGAAATATACAACGACGTACAAAACGTCGACGCCACGACGAGAAATGCAAGCAGCAAAGTGAGAAAGTTGAACGAAGAGCAAAACGGAAGAAACAGAAGAAAGGGCGAAAAACACACCGACGAAAGTGGACCGGTAGAAGAAACACTAATCGAAAATAGCAAAACGATAAACAATGACGATGTGCTCGTCTTGGAGGAGTTCCGCAGTGACGTCAATTGTATTCACAAGTGCATCCGCCCAAGGAGCTACGTCCACAACAAGCTCAGTCAGACTCTCACCCCAGCCAGGACGTACAAATTTGAATTAGACACCTTCCAGAAGAAATCTATTGAATGTTTGGAGCGAAACGAAAGCGTCCTCGTGTCAGCACACACATCCGCCGGAAAAACGGTCATCGCAGAGTACGCCATCGCTCTAGGGTTAAGGGATAAGCAAAGAGTTATCTACACGAGCCCTATAAAAGCGTTAAGTAATCAAAAGTACAGAGACCTGAGCGAAGAATTTAAAGACGTCGGATTGATCACAGGAGACATTTCCATAAATCCTGATGCTTCCATCATCGTCATGACGACCGAAATTCTGAGATCGATGTTGTACAGAGGCTCCTCCCTAACAAAAGAAGTAAAGTGGGTAATTTTTGACGAAATCCATTACATGCGAGACAGAGATAGAGGAGTCATTTGGGAAGAAACCATCATTTTATTACCACTCATGGTGCGCTTTATTTTCCTAAGTGCCACCATCCCAAATGGGATTCAGTTCGCAGAATGGGTAAGCAGCATCAAAAGCCAAGCTTGTCACATCGTATACACCGATTATCGACCCACCCCCCTGCAACATTATATATACCCAACATCTAGCGAAAGCGTTTTTCTCATTTGTGATGAAAATAAAGATTTTAAAAAAAATAATTTTATCAAAGCAGTCAATGCTATCAAGGAAAAAATGAACACATCAGAAGATAACCAGCACCAGAATGGTAATAGTAAGCATAACAAACGGGCAAGAAAAAATGTTTATGACATTGAAAAAATTGTGCAAATGTGCCACTCTCGTAATTACACCCCTCTCATCATTTTTGCATTTTCCAAAAAGGAGTGCGAAATAAATGCAACTACTATGCATAAAGTGGACCTAACGGACGACACAGAGAAGGAAGTCATAAAAGAGTTGTACGAAAACGCCATTCAAATTTTAGCTGATGATGATAGAGCTTTACCGCAGGTCCAGTTTATTCTTCCTCTCCTCTTAAGAGGCATAGGAATCCATCATGGTGGCCTACTACCAATCATTAAAGAAATAATAGAAATTATGTTTCAAGAATCCCTGCTGAAAGTTTTATTCAGTACAGAAACTTTCTCCATGGGAATTAACATGCCAGCCAAAACGGTCGTTTTTACCTCCTTGAAAAAATTCGATGGAGTAGAAAAACGATTAATAACATCGGGGGAGTATATTCAAATGGCTGGAAGAGCTGGAAGACGTGGTTTGGACGACAGAGGAATCGTTATCATTATGTTAGACAGCCCACTACACTGGAGAGAGGCAGAAAAGTTATTCGTCGGGGAAGCAAACAGACTACTCAGTCAGTTCCACCTGGGGTACAATATGATTTTAAATCTACTCAGAATAGAAGGAATTACTCCAGAGTTTATGATCGAGAGATCCTTCATTCAGTACCAAATGAAGAAAAACCTCTTCCAAAAAATTATGGCCAAAAAAAGAATTGAAGAAAAAATTAAAGAAATTTTTAACCGACTCACTAGTGTCTACCTGGATAAGGATGACCAGGAGATCAGCAAAGAAAATCTCTTGAAGAAAATTATGGATCATAATTATGAGTGCACCTCTGGGCGGGGGGGAGAAATGGTTGCGACTGAATTGGGGCACACCCTACATGGCGGCCAAGATGGCAACGCGAAAGGAGGTGTACCCCCAGGGGTGGAAGCAGAAATAGGTATTGACGCGAAGGAGGGCATTGATCAGAAGAATGCCACCGACGCCGAAAACACCGTCGCCGGGCTCAACGATGAAAACTTCATCATCAACGATCAGCTCAAAAAGTACAACACGGTGTTTTCCTGCATTTCCAATTACTACATTTTAAGAAACAAACTGATCGAGTTAGGCGAAACGTACAGGTCTATACTGACGGCCAGGAAGAACATCACCCCCTACTTGGCCATGGGGAGACTGCTCTACCTGGTGGAGGACGACTTGAGATGGGGTTGGGGCATATGCGTTCAGGGAAAAATTGTGGAGCGAGCGAACGGGATTCGCAGCACCGGTTGCAACAACGCCGTCAGGAGCGGAAACGCGGCAAATTCAGCAAATTTAGGAAATTCAACAACCGCCGCCAACCCCGCTGATGGCGACGTGCTGCTCGTGGACTGCCTAGTGCCCTACAGCCAAAACAGGAAAAGGAAACTGTCCCAGAGTGACGACGAAGAGGAACAAGAGGAAGAAGAAGCTCAGAAGGAATTCACACCAGCCACCGACAGAATGAAGGCCAAATGGAAACTCATCACCTTTCACATCAAGTGTATCTATCAAATTTCAGCTGTCGTCTTAAACCTAGACAAACCATTTGACAAAAAAAATGACGAGCAAATTATGAGCGCCAAAATGAAGTATAACACCATGGTGACCTGCCTCAGGGGAGAAAAAAACATCCCAGTCATTAACCCCCACCAGATGGAAATCAAAGATGAAGTCTTTCGCAAGGTCGTAAAAAATATTAACTATCACGAACATATGTTAAGTAGAAATAGATTAATCAGAAGTCGAAACCTCCACAAGTATTACGAATTGTACAATATGTATGTCGCTCTGCAGTTCGAGAAGAACCTTTTAGAGGCCAACATAGAAAAGTGCCGATTCATAGTCTTAAAGAAGGAACTCAAAAATATGCTCGTGCTTCTGCAAGGTCTGAATTATATCGAAATTTCGCACAACTTGGAAGGGGAAGGTGCGCAGCAGGGGACACGCCCCCAGGAAGTCAAGGGGGAAGAAGTCAACATGGAGAAGATCCAACCGGAGGAGGTTAAAGCAGAGCATCAAACCCACCAGAACGGACGCAGCATCGGAGGGGGCTTATCCTCGAGCGAAGAAAAAAGCTACGTCGTGACCATGAAAGGACAAATCGCCAGTGCCGTCCTCAGTGTGGACGAATTAGTCATTTCTGAGTTATTCTTCTCCAACTTTTTTAGTAAGTACAACTACGACTACATATGTGCCTTCCTCTCCTGCTTTGTCTATGACGAATCCACAAACAAAGAAATCGCCATTAACGACCCAGTTCTTGTGGAAGGCTACGAACAGATAATTAAAACCGCCACGCACGTTTCGAATAAAATGAACGAATGTGGAATGAACATAAATTTGAAGGACTACCTGGACAAGTTTAAGTCCGCCATCATGCCCATCGTCTTGCAGTGGGTGCGCGGCTACTCCTTCATGGAAATTCTCACCGACTCGCAGATATACGAGGGGTCCATCATACGGACGCTCAGGTGAGTCGTGTCCGCGAGGCAGCACCGGGCTTACCCACAAAAATGTACACAAAAAAGTACACATTAATGTGCACATAAATGTGCCTATAAAAGGGCATACAAAAGTGCCTATATTTTTGCCTACATCTTTGCGCCAAATTATTCGTCCATGCCCCTTCCCCATTTATTTTCCCCCACCTCCAAACTTGCTCAGGCGCCTGGATGAACTGCTCAGACAAATGATCTGCGCCTTCAGAGGAATCAACAACGACAGCATGTGCGAAATTTTGACAGAGGCGACCAAAAAGCTGCGACGCGGTATCCCCTTCTCCCCCTCTTTGTACCTATAACTTAGCAATTTGTTTTCCCCCCCGCGTGCCAAACCGCTCGGGATAATTCTCTAGCATATATACATGTACACATATTCGCTTCTGTGAACTTTCTTCCTTCTTTTTTTTTTTTTTTTTTACGTTTTTCGAAGTGGAATTATACACCCAAAAAATGTACACACAACAATGCGGCAAATTCGTCGCGCTATGCCCATTGCTGTGCTTTTCTCCCCCTTTTTGCCTTTAAAAAATGTGACTCCACTGTTTGCTTGTTTCGTTTCACCATCACCAAACCCACTTTGTTCGTCTTCCCCCGTGCAGCTATTCGCGTTCCATATGTTGTGCATAGTAAAACGTAAACCACAGACAATATGTTGCCCTCCCGCGATAATTGGGGGAAGAACAGGAAGGAAAGAAAAAAAAACGCGCTAGCGCATAATGCCTCTGTATATCTATATCTGCAGTGATAAACCGAACAGGTTGCCCCTAACTGGGCCACAAAACAGCGTGCATTATCCCCCTGGCAACACATTTCGTCTGCGCATTGGTGGTGACCTCCAATTTTCCATCTCCAAAAATGTGTATATTTATTCATATGTACACATTTATGCAGCGCCGCGAGGCGCAAAGATCCTCCTCCCCCCTTGACCATTTCGTGGCAGCAAAAAATGGCCTCACAGCTTCAACGTTAAGAATAACACAACCCGCAGCTGCAGTTTTGAAATGCAAAGAGACGGCAGTTCTGCTCTAATCTTCAAAACAGAAAAAGGAGACGCCTCCTACGCCAAGGGAAATCCAACGGTGCCTACAGAATGGCAACCAGCGTGCCACTTGTACGTACAAAGTGATACATTCATGTGCCTTTTAAATCATCTCAATAATTTTCAGGGACGCGAAATTGGAATAGGTCCCACTTTTAAAATGACCACTTAAGGAGAATTTCCTTTCCTTGTTTTCTATCTGTCGCTTAAATTTTTATGCATTGTTCATTGCCCCCCAACCCCACCAGTTCTGCGTTAGACCTGCTTTCGTCAAGGGGAACAGTGACAACCGCAGAAGCGACGTGCGCAGTCACGTTTTCCCCATGATGCATTTATACATACGCTTGCGTGCATATTGATAAGAGCAATTTGCCGCTTCTTAATCAGCACTTGCGAAAAAGAGTATTTTTTTTTTTTTTTTTTTAATTTTAAAGGATTATTCAGTGTCACCTTTTTCGATGGGCATATACTCCCAAGGAATCCTTTTCCGCTCCACCGCCTTGCTGAAAGGTAGATCCAAATTTTGAAAGAGCGACAAGAGGGAAAAAAAACCTCTCTGCTGACCATTTCTTTTTTTTTTTTTCTTGGATTTCCCGTACTTCACCAACAACAACGCCGCGCATTCAATTGGCAGACCGACCAAATGGTCATCCATAGGTAGGGACGCACGCATGACATAAAGGGGGCATCTCTACATAGGGTGATCATAACCGTTCAATACGCATGTAAGTCTCCCTCCTGTTCACTTTCCCCCCACACAGACCTGTGAGACGTGCTAATCTAAACTGCACACCTAACTAAGAAACGACGGAAAAAACCGAACAGTCCTCCCAATATGGCAGACGACATCCTCCAGTGCGTTCACAAAGAGTTTAAATACGTCCTGATAAGTAGCGACATAAATGACCAAATCAAAGAGCTAACCTTCAGTGGGAGCGAGAGGAAGTTCCAAAGCGTTCTGGCGTCTTACTTTAGGAGAATCATTTTTGACGAGAAGGGAAAAAATGAGCTGAAGGAGTCGATAAAGGAGAAGCTTAAAGTGAGTAAAGAAAATGATGATGGAACAAATGGACCAACTGGAGGAGAGCAAAATGGAGGAAAACAAAACGGAGAACAGACAGGAGGGGAACTAAACGCCAGCGCAATAACCCCAGACCTAATCAACAACGCAGTGGAATCATCTCAGACGTATCAAATAATCCCGTTGACCATTCCCACGGAGAAAACAAATTTCTTTGCTGTCAACTGCTACATTGATGACATTGGACGTATAAAAAAGTTACCCTACAACAGTAGAGCGTCCAGAATCTGTAGTACAGAGATTTATGGAGATGCCTTCCTGTCAAAGACGTACGATAATGAGGATTTCCGGAGGTGCGATTTTACCATTTCGGAATATGAGCAGTTTTTGCAGAATCCCCCCAAGGCAGAAAATAGGTACTCAGCGAGGGACACGCTGTATGTGCAAATAGGCAGCCCTTTTTCTTCCCTTTCTCTTAAGAAGAACATCAAAACAGCTGCTTCCATTCGTGCTCGATAGCACACCATTTTGTGCGATTTTTACCCACGCGCTGCTGATCATTCACTGCCTTCTCTCTGCTCACTTCCCCTCCCCTTCCAAGGTGGGACCAGGCGCAAGCGATGCAAGACCTGTTGAAACAAATGAAGACCCAGAAGCAGGAAAGCACCACCGTCAGCGCGCCGACTGAGCGCCCGAATGTGTGCGAACATTGCTATACGGTACTGGAGAGGATACATGCTCTCTTAAAAAAAAACGCCAAAGAATGGGAAACAGTTAGAGTCCCCTTAACAATGACCAAACTGTGTACACCCGTCCCCTCATTCCCCCTTCCCCTTCTTCTCTGCAGGAAAAGAACCTCAAGAGATGCGGAAAGTGCAAGAAGGTTTACTACTGCTCGATAGAGTGCCAACGAAAGGACTTTGTTTTTCACAAAAGAATTTGCTTATGAGGAGACTTCTCACCACCACCACCAGCCGTCCACTAGAATGTCGTTGAGGAGAGACCACCTTTTTTTTTGGAACCCTGTGGAAGCTTTTTAAGATCTATCTATTTTTTCTTTTTTTTTTGTTTTTTAAATTGGCTAACACATTCCTTCTTATGTTTAACTCGTCGCGAGTTCTCCTGCGCGAGAGGTATGTAATTGGAATGAAACAAAAGAAGTATGCCTGCCCGAGTAAACCTATGCTCGTATGCATGATCAGGGGCACCGTCTGTGTTGTTACACGTTTAACCTTCTTAATTTTTCAAGCCCCCCGGCTTCGCCTCTTTACTTTGCAATTCGAATGTACCACTTTTGCAAAAAAGAAGGGGAAAAAAAAAATATATATATAAACTTTTTAAACGAAACCACGATGCATAATTAAATGACAAAGCAACCATTTGAGAGCACCCTGTGTGGACGCGTTGTTCCGCCTCCTCGTTCTCTACATTTGCACAATTAGGAAGCAATGATGAGCCATTTTAGCGCCCCCATGCGCATAGAACAGATTTACTCACCCCAAGTTGCTCCTCTTTTTTCTCTAAATTTTAATTTTATCCTTCCCCCTTCGAATTTACTGCAATGGGGGCACGATTATCGGTGTGTCTTCAGCATCCAGTGCTGCATGCTCCTATTCTTCACCCCTACTTGGAACGAAATGCCACCTGCACCCACCAACTGCATTGCAACCCTCGCCTCAAAGGATAAACAAAACCATGTAGGGTAAAAAAAAAAGTAAATACACCCTGTTTACAACCCACCCTGCGGAAAAAAAGGTTCCTAATGGAGTAACCAAAATTTGTCCGGCATAACAAAAAAAAAAAAATAAATTTTTCTAAACGGCTGTATGCCCCATACGTAAAAGAAAGAACACATGTGTTCAACCCACTGGAGGGGTAATAACAGAAGGCATAGAAAAAAAAGAAAAAAAAACACTTGGTCCAGGCAGACCGTGTTGTTCAGTGCATTCCCCATCGTAACAGTATTCCCAGTACAACCTTCGGATAAACGTCTCTACTCGCCGAACATTTAAATAGCCAATCCTCCAAACTAAAACCATGCGGACGAATCTCCCATGTAACATCCTTCTCGCATGGTCGGCGCTCTCCCTTACAGTGACCCTCTGTAAGAAAATGCTCTTCGTGGATCTACTCAACGGATTGAACATAAATTACAAAAGGAGGGTACCCATATGTAAAAGACCAACGAGAAGTACAGAATATGTCTCAAATCAGCCTCTGCATGCGAACCCGAACGTAGAACAAACCTCTTCAAAAAATGCGGAGGCATCCATCATAACCGACGACCACGAGAGAGATGAAAACATTTTGCAACAATACATTTATACCCTATCCCACTTGACCATCTTCGATGTGGATAGGGATAAAAGTACGCCCCTAAATATTTCCCTACTTTTAAAGGCCTGCCTAGCATCCCACAATTACATCAAAAATGTAGAGATCTTCACCTCCGACGTGAAGAACAAAGAAATTTGCTCCTTCATTTACGAAAGCAGAAACGACTTTGATACCTTCTTCAAGATGCATGTAATGAAGTACGTAGACTTTTTTGGAAATACACAAATCATGGAAACGCTAAAATCGTACATTGATAATGAGGAGGTCTACCAGCGCGAATTAGAAATATTTAACCAAATCGAAGGAGACACTAAAGTGAGGAAAGATTTACTAGAAGACATACTATTTGAATGCACACGGCTGAACAAAATCATTCAATACTCCCTTGCAATTAACAACTTTGATTTATTTTCCCCCACAGTCTTGCTAAAAGTATTTACGTACTTTAAAAATTATGGGATATATTACTACATATTTGTGAATAACATTAAGAGGATTAAATATTATTACGAAACGAAGGGGCTAGGGGGGGAAGAGAAAAGGAAGATAGAAAAAATTGTCGACCATTATTTGCTCACTTTGGATCGGTTTAATGATATGTATAAGGCTAACCATGCGATACCATGATTGATCATTTGGTGGTAAGGGGGGTTACGCGAAATAGCCTCCACGGGGAGGAAGAGGGATTGGGAGACAATGCGTGAGAAGGACTCCAATAAAGTGTTTTTCACACCATTTCGTACCACACATTTGGTGAAAAGAATTACCTACGTATATTATGCACCGGTGGGGAGTGACCCACTCCCTTATCTTACCCTTTACCAAAGGGTGAAACGGGTTACCACCCCCACACGGGAGCGTCTCGTCCTGTGAGGCACCTTGCCAACAGGGCATAGCATACCGACCGGAAAAGCGCTCCCACAAAATTTACACAACCGAACTTTCTGTTTAGCGCTCCATGTTGCAAATCCAATCTGCGCAATGCGCACATGGAATAGTTCCCTCCTTCGTATTTCCACCAAAAGGGGGGTCTCCAGGAGTGTCCGAACTGGGGAAACAAAATCGCAATGAAATAACCACTCTGAACAGATCCTACGTTATGCTAAAAGGATCAAAATCGACTCCTTTTTTTTACGCGCAATTTTTCCCAATTTCGTCCCAGCGTGTGCCCATCAAATTGGCCTAAAACGTAACACTGCTAAAAAAGATAAAACGAATGAACGTTTACTTTCAAACTGGAGGGGAAAACACATTCTTCGTTCCCACTTTGTGTAATGAATGGAGAAAAAAAGGAAGCCAGGCAAAAAGACAAAACGCAAAAAGCTGAAAACAACGGAAAAATATTTGTCAACAAGAAAAAAAAAAAAATATGAACTGTTCATATTTTTTTTCGAAATAACTTCAAAAAAAAAAAAAAAGAAAAAAAGCCAAAATTTAAAATGAAGAATGTTTCGTTTGTCAAATTAAAAATTAAGGAGCGATCAGGTTACATCACTTCGCTAGTTCGGCATCGCGGCAATTGTCCACGTCACCATTTCGCCTTCTCACCGCTTCGCCTCTTCACCACATCGCCTCTTCACCACTTCACCGCCTCATTCCTTCTTCTGCAAAATTTGCTCCTGAATGTACTGCGGCACCAGGGTATACTTGTGAAGCGTCATGGTGTAATTTCCTGCGGGGCGAAAAAAAAAAAATTACAGCACCGAATGATACACCATTTCATCTAGCGCAGAGAATACTACTACCAATTTGTTTCCATTCAAACGCGAGACACGAAAACGTTTTAAATGCAAAAGTTGTAACCTCGCCCCTTTGTTATTTTCCGCAAGTCGCTAACGTAGGATAGGATGGAAGCCATGGGTGCTCTCGCAACTATTTCCTTGGTGTATTCGTCGCCTGATTTGGGTGTGAACAAAAGGGGGTAGTAAAGTGTGTGCAGCGCATGTGTGCGAAAGGGTATGCTCAAAGGGACGTGCATGTAGTCAATTTTACCCTCACCATGATGCACGAACTTAGCTTACGCCACCCAATGCGAAGCAATGTCGCGCCCTTGTCGCTTGCCAATTCTTACTTTCATCGATGTGATGTATTTTGCCCCTCTTTTTAACCAAGTCGCTGATGACGTCTCCCAGGTACTCAGTGGGCACCGACACGTTGAGCTGCGAAAGGGGAAAAGGGACGCACGCACATGTGGATGGCGTTGCGTTGTAGTTGTGCATACGTCGGCCACTCCGATGCGTGTTGCGCATAAGTCGACCGCCTCGCCAATTCGCCGCTTCACCACTTCACCGCCCGCCTTACGTTCATCATCGGCTCCAGCAGCCGAACGGACGTCTTCCGCGCAGCCTCCCGAATGGCGATTCCCGCAGCTAATTTGAACGCATGTTCGTTGCTATCCACGGGATGGAACGACCCGTCCACGATCCTCACGATAATATTTATGAGTGGCGAGTTTGAGAGAACGCCCAAGTTGCACTGCTCCCGTATCCCCGTATAAATCGCGTCGAAGTATGCCGAAGGAATGGCTCCACAGGTTATTTCGTTTTTTATAATAATATTATTGTTCACTTCCGAAGTGTCAATGTTCATGCTGTTTCGGTGTGAATCCTGTTCATCGCTTCGATCTTCCACATTTTTGGAGTTCTGCTGGTCGTTTCCGCTGTCTCCTTCTTCTTCCTCCTCCCCGTAGCTGTACATAGGCTCGATCTTAATGTGGACGTCCCCATACTGCCCCCGTCCGCCTGACTGCTTGATGTACTTTCCCCTGGCCTCTACATTTTCAACGAAGGTTTCCTTGTAGGAAATCTGTGGCTGTCCATAAATGATTGGGATATTAAAATCCTTCTCAATTTTGTTAATAATAATTTGCAAGTGCAGTTCCCCCACTCCACTGATTAGCAAATCTTTTGTGTCCGGATTGATGTGATAAAAGAAGGAGTGGTCCTCCTTCTTGATCTTCATCAAAGCGTTAATTAACTTTTCGTATTCATTTTTATTTTTATTGTAAATATAAAAACTGATAATCGGAGGAATTTCTTTAATTTTTTTTAATTCCGCCCTCAAGAAAGTGCTGCTTAACGTGTCGCCAATTTGTGTGTCCTTCAACCCGACCAGCCCGACAATGTCCCCTGCTCGCGCAGATTCCAATTCGTACTTTTCGCTGGAATGAATGAAAAATATTTTCGAAATTTTTTCACTCCTCTTCGTTCTGTTGTTGTAGAGGTATTCTCCCCTATTTATTTGTCCTTCGTAAATGCGGACGTAATTTATATTTCCGAGATGCTGGTCATTCATAATTTTGTAAATCAGTGCGACTACTTTTCTCTTGAAATCCTTTATGTTCACGTGATTTAGTTCTTCCGATATGTTATCATTCGCTTTCGCGACAGTGCAAGTTTCCTCCTGCTGGGGTGTACCCTTATCTGAAGAGCTTTCATCACCCGACGGAGGTTCTTCCCTTGTACTCGGAGTGGATTGTTGCTTTACTCCCACGGAGGGAACCTGAATGGGATATATCCTCTCCCCCCGCTTATTAACATCATGTTTGAATATAACCTGATTTTTATAATTCTGAACTGAATCAATTGGAGAAGGCAAATACTTCACGACGGAGTCTAGCAGCATGTGGACATTCTTGTTTTTCAAAGCAGAGCCGCACATGACTACGTTGTACTTTTCCTCCACGACCAGCTTCCGAATATACTGTTCCACCTCTTCCACCTGGATAGGCTTATCGTTTAAGTAATTGTCCATAAAGGAGTTAAACTTCTCAGCGATCTGCTCAAACAGCAAGTTTTTATATTTTAAAAATGTATCATAATGCCACTTAGGAATACTTTTGTATACAAAATCATGCGCATTCTTGTACACAATCATTTTCTCCTTTAAAATGTCAATTGTGCTAATAAAGTTGGTCATTTCAAAAACGGGGACAAACAGAATTAGGATCTTTTTATTTAACTTTCTTTTTATTTCTTCTATGCAAGACTCGAAATTCGCTCCAACTTTGTCCAACTTGTTGAGGAATATAATTCGGCTAATGTTATACCTGTTGGCTTGTTTCCAGACAGTCTCTGATTGGGATTCTACCCCTTCGCTACTATCGAAAACAACCACCCCTCCGTCAAGAACCCGTAAACTCTTCTCCACCTCTGCTGTGAAATCTACATGGCCTGGAGTATCAATAATGTTGATTCGATAATCTCCTAAATTTTTTTCACTTCCATTCCAGTAGCAAGTAGTAACGGCAGCATTGATTGTTATTCCTTTTTCTCTTTCTATGTCTAAATAATCCATGGTAGACATACCCTCGTGTACTTCCCCTATCTTCTTAATAACATTCGTATAGTAAAGTATTCTCTCCGTCGTCGTCGTTTTTCCTGCATCTATGTGTGCAATTATTCCTATGTTCCGATATTTTTCTAGCTCTACATTTTTGTTCGCGCAGACGTTGCTTATCATAAGGCGAAAGGTGTTTACTTTGTTTTCCTTTCGCTTTGGGATCCTAAAGATTGATTTTCTAGCGTGATCTCCACTCATCAAAAAGGAATGTTCAGCCGGTTTACACCAACGTTGGATCACTCCTCCATCCCTTCTGCGCCACCTACTCAAGGCACTAACCACGATGTCGGAGTTCCCCTTCACAAATAAGGACAAAAGGACAAGCACTGCCAAAGCGTCCTGTCCTTTCCAGAAAAATAATTTAAACATTTCCGTTTTTGCTGCCTTTCATTTTTTTCTTTTCTTTTTTTTCATTGCTCTCGCGTCTGCCATGCGCGTGTGGTCTGTTCCCGCTTGCCGCTTCACTCTAAGGACTGCCACAAAATCGGCGTCGTGAAATGATGTACGAAAAAGCAACTCTCCCAAAATGTATCTGCTTTTTCCTATCACACTGATGCCACTCCTGTGC